TGACATCAATGAAGACTCTAGGAGTCAGCGAGGCCTGTTTGAAGTCTGGATTCAGAGAGCTCATGGTGCCTACTGAATCAGTGTCAAGAGCTCCCTCTCCTGCTACTCACGCTCTCTGAGGCCCCACAGACCACAACACTGAGCCTAGAACCCTCCCCTCCTGATGAGCACTGTTCAGCAACAAGGTTACCAACATTCTGTGTCTATTTAAGGTCTCCTAACTATGTATTAGGATAAACTGGGAGGAAGCAGTAGTCCTTGAAAGGACATTTAAAAAAAAAAAAAAAAGTTTAGTGAAATACTCATCTCATGTATGTACAAAAGTTTTCTTTTTACTACAATTTTTGCATTTAGCTCCTCTTTGCCTCACAGCTGGCCAATACCCGGAGCTAGGAAAGGCACACTTGTGAGGTTCTGACCCCTGCAGGCTCTTCTCTGACCATCTCTCTCCCTCTGTTTGCTCCCCTTTCTCTGCACTCTCAATGCTTGATCAAAAGCTCATAACCACCCCAAAGGATGAGGGCAGGTAGGAGGTGAACTTCACACGTCTGAAAAAGGAAGACAGGACAAATACATCTCAAAGAGTTACTTATTCCTTTTTCTGACCTTCAGATTGTCCTGGTAATGCTTTCTGCCTTGGCCCATCTGCTGCCTCTGTGAGATCCCAGTAGGGCAGCCAGAGGGTAGCTGGAGCAGTATAAACGCACTCTCCCAGCTCTAATCATTTCACTAGCAGAGGAGATTTTTTTAAAGATCGAGCTGCAGCCTGTGAGGGGTGGAGATGCTGAAACAGCTGAGACACCGAGTGGTAACTCCTATTCGTCCTTCAGATTTCAACTCAAATGTTCTTTCTCCAGTTAACAGTTTAAGTTTATAATAGGTCGTATTTCCCATTTAGTTCTCCTATAGCTTTTTAATTTCTTCAGAGCATTTATCAAATTTGCCACTGCCCTGTATTTCACTGATTCCTCACCTTCCATCCTGATGGCTGACCTCCCTGAGGAAGGTTACTGTTTAACCCACCACTGACTCCCCAATGCCTCCTTCTACCTGCATAGTTTGGCACTCATTAAATAAATATTTTTTAAATGAATCTTTCCAAATCAATCTAGTTTGCTCACCTTATATGTGAGTCTACACTGTAACTTCCTAAATCTATTCACCAGTCTATTCACTATTCACCAAGGCTGCTCATAGAGGCTGGCTATGGTAGGAAAACTTCAAAGGTCATGTGTGCATGGCAAAAAAAATGAATACAAAGTACCTAGAATAACTTATAACCCTAACTCTCTAAAAACTTACTAAAATATCGAAGGCAAGGGTATCAGAAAATTAGCCACTAATTTCTTACACTCCTGATTAATAAGTAACCAATTCTTGGAGGAAAAACAGTCAATATTATCACCTTACATTTACGTAATATTCAATTTTCTCATTCATTATTTCACTGTATGCTTAGGTAATCCTTATCCTATCCTTACGATAAATCCTGTAAGTTAAGAGAGGTAGATTGTACCATTTACATTGATTTGCCAGTGTCACATAGTTTGACAGCTGGCAAGTACCCAGTCTTCTAGCTCTTAGCTGACAATGCTCTCAGCCTTCCATAAATAAAGCCATTAAGAAACTACATATCAAAAAATCAAAAAATCAATGTATAGCATATAATACAACATATTTATTCAGGGAACTGGGTTTTTGGCTTGTGCTAAAATTTTAAATGATTTCAGCCTATAGGATATTTATATACCCTGTATTGAAAATAATATCTAAAATATAAAGAGCATTTCTATGTATAAGATCAATATAGAATAGTCAATTGTACTCTCTATATGAGCAACAGCCAGAAAATTCTACTTTTTCCCATAACTTCAAATACTAATATCTTCTTATTTATTTCTAAATGTCAAAGAGTTCTCAGTCAGACTTGAAAACACTTCTAAACAAGTCCATGGCAACCTGCAAATTATTTTCAGTGATCTTGACATCCCTGTAACCATAGTCTTAGGACCAGAAAGACATATAAAAACAATCACCTCTAGAAAATTCAATTTTCAAATAATTATTTAAATAGCAACAAAAAATATAAGATATAATGTAAATGTAATAAGCCCAGTAAATGATTTATAAGACTTCTTTTGGTCTTATATAAACTGAATAAATTACATAATTTTATTGAAAGATATTAAAAGAAGAGCTAAATAAATAGAAAGAGACATTTTATGTTTATGGATAAGAAGACTTAAAACCTTGCGGATATAAATCTGCCCATATTGAGCTAGAGTAGATGTAATTTCAATTAAAATCCTAAAGGGTTTTCCCTATTACTGTTATGTGCCATTTAGTCGGACCTGACTCACAGCAACCCCTCCTTGGGTTTCTGAGGCAGTATCACTATGGAAGTAGATTGCCCAACCTTCCTTCTGAGGAGTGGCTGGTGGGTTGAACTTCCAGCCTTCTGGTTAGCAGTCAAGTACCTTAGGCACTATGCTACCCTAGAATGTAAAATCTGATTCTGAAATTTATATGAAACACAACTTATTCTTGAATAAGCAAGACACTCCAGTAGAAAAAGAGCATGATGGGGTAGGGGAGCATGTCCTGCTGGACACCAAGACCCATTATAAAGCTACAATAATTAAGACAGTGTAGCAAGTATAGACACATAAACAAATGGAAATAATGACCAGAAACATACCTTCATAAATAAGAAATTTGACAAGTGACAAAATAATGCTGGAATTCCTTCTGACATAGGACACAAATGGCTAATCATTTCAGATCATACAGCCACAGCAATGTCAGATGGATTAAGAGTTAGGAGATGAAAGGCAAATGTTAAAACTTCTAGATGGAAAATATATTTAACATCTCATGGTATAGAAAGAACACAAGATAAAAAAGAAAAACCTGGTAAACTCAACTATATTACTAAATCAATTCAATCACTTTAATTAAAGAAATTATTATAAAGAGAAAAAAAAGACAAACTACATATTTCAAGATATTTGGAACACATAAAAATGACAAATAATTAGTAACCAGAATATTTCAAGAATAAAGAAGAAGAAATGAACAAAAATAGACATGAAAGCTGAACGAACAAACATTTTACAGAAATGTTTCGTTTTAAAAGAAAGCCCAAATGGCCAATAACTACATGCAAAGATATTAAATCTCATTAGTCATTGGAATGTAAAGTAAAATCACAGGTTGTATCATTTCATAGCCACCCAAGCAGCAAACATTAAAGCTGGAGGGGAGAATGTGAAATGGCAGGAAGCCTCACTCTCTGAGGATGCAAGACCACGTGGCACTGCCGTGCAAGGTGGAACACACGTGTCCCACGTCTCAGCCATTGCTAGGTATCTGTCTGTTGACTGATCAACATACAAATTATTTAAAAACAAAAAAGTAATCTTTGTAGTAGTAGTGCTGTGTGATAAACCTGCTCTTAAAAACCTAATAGATAACTGTGGATGTTTACTCATTTCATGAAGAATTCTTTAACATACCTTTCATTGGCTGGCTACTCGATCATCACATGGGGCAGATAATGCATAACCAACAAGCTACTGTTGGACATTCAGATTTTTCAAAATTTTTGTTTCTATGTAAGTATGTGACAAATATCCATGTAGATAAATCTTTGCTTATTTAAGATAATAAATAAAAGTGAATCAAATGGTAGGCATATTTAAGGTGAGTTTTTTGAGATTCATTTTGTCAAATTATCTTCCAGGAAATATTATTAATAATTTATATAGCACTATATGAGCAATTTTTTCCAATAATCTCCCCAACACTGGATAAAAACATAAACTTTGCCAAATTTATAGGTGAAGTCTAGTACACTGCCTTTTCAATTTATGTTTAAGCAATAGTGAGCCTGGGTAGTTTATGTCTACTGTTCTCTCAGTTTCTACTCAGCTTTGTTGCTTAACCCTCTGTCCATTTTTCTATGTTATGTTCAATGTTTTTAATGATACATAATAATAATATATTCAGGATATTAATCCTTTCTCTTCGTCATTTATCTTTTACTCTGTTTTTGTTGTTTGCCTGTTTTAAATTTATACATACAGGCAGGCAATCCCTGGGTTATGGATGCCTGATTTAGACAACCTCTACTTGCTCTAATGTAGGGCTTCAAACTGATTCTGTCATGGCTGATGAAGCAAAACAGGAACAGACCAGAATTTTTATAATTTGCGTGATTCATCACAGTAAAAGGAATGGGAAAAATTACAGGTTGAAACTCTGCAATGGAAGACTCAGAAGAGGTGTACTGAACCCTTTTCAGGAGCCCGAAGCATGAGACTGGATTATTGTTAGCACCCTGTTGAGCCACACACATTTAAAGGAGTGTAGCCAGCTGCCATCTTTGAGTGGGGCATCTGCTTTAATTTTATGTAAATTTGCCCTCACTTCGAAATGACTTGCTTCACCTGTAGCTTCTAAATCACTGAAAAGGCTCCAGGCCTTTTCTTGTACTAACGGCTAAATAAGAACCATATGTACCTGTTTCAATTCACCCACAAATTGGACTTAAAGACACACTTAGAAACAGATCATGTTTATAACCTGCGGAATGCCTACATGTGTATGTATGTATAGGTATATACTTTTCTCTTTATGATTCATTCTCTGGCCCACAATTATTAATGTCTATACTTAAAGGATTTAACTCATCTTCCACTTGTCCCCTCATATAATAAAAATCCCTCATCTAATTCAGGTGAATAGCACCTTCCTCAAAGGGTTATTGTAAACATTAATTAAGATAATTTATATTAATGTGCTATATTAATAGTAAAGCAACCTATTAATGTCAATTATTACCAGCCCCCCAATAAACAGTAGTTATTAACATTACAGTCCACGGGTTTTATAATTACATACTAATAGCAGATGCTCTCAGGGGAAATGAAAAATCAAATGTACTCAGGAAGCTGAGAGCATAATATAAAAGTGTGCTTCGCGTTCCTCCACCTGTGCAGGAGTCCAGAACAGCTGCGGCGAGACCAAATGAGACACAGGCGCTCTTACCTTACTACTCATCCCCTTCCTCCGCCAGCTCTGTTTCCTTGTGCACCACCACTCTCGTGACGGACATGTCGGGGTGCTGCTCTCTGGCTTCCTTGATGGCCTGGGCCAACGCCTACCAGGGTCAGGAGAGAAAGTAGCTGTGAGCTGAGGGACAAGCTCCTCCGCAAAACACAGGCATACCAGTGAACTGAGATTCGGTCGCAAGCCAAAATAGGTCCATCTCTTTACGTGGGGAAGCAAGAAGGACTCATTGTTCATCTTAGAGAAAGCTTCTTACTTTTCCAAATTTCTGTTTCTCCAGTACAGCTTCAAATAATGACACAAGTGAAAGAGACATGTTGGCTTGGAATTCCAGTCTTGCCACTAACTGTGAGACTTGGAGAAAAGTTTCAATGATTTCAGAGCTGCACATGCAACAAGTGAAGGTGACTGCCATCAAGAATTGTTGCCAGTAGGGAACTATTTCAAAGTGAGGCAAACTTGCACAGCATTAAAAGGCAAGGAGTTCATACTGCGGGGACAGCTGATAGTGATGTAAAGCATCCCACATGGTGCCTGACCTGACACCCCACAGCACAGAATCACACCTTGCTCATCTCTTAAGTTCACAGCCATTGTTTGAACTTTTATTATTATTTGGGTGAACATTTACTGAGCAAATTGGTTTTCCATTCAACAATTCATACACATTTTGTTTTGTGACATTCACTGCAATCCCCACAATGTAACAGCACTCTTCCCATTTCTTCCCTGTGTTTACTGTTTCCATTTGTCCTTCTTCCCTATCCCTCCCTGCCTTCTGAGCTTTATCCCTGGGCAAATACTGCCCTTTTGATCTTGTGTGGTTGATTGTTCTAAGCCGTGCATATCTCCCTGGTTTTACTGTTCACCTTATTGGCCTATCATTTGGCTGAAAGTTGAGCCACTCATGGGGTTAATTCAGTTCCAAGCCTGAAGGGTGTCTAAGGGCCATAGTCTTGGGGGTTCTAATGTTTGTTGAACTATAATGTTGCAGGATAACTATAAATTTCTAGGACACAGAATAAGTACAAAAGCAGCAAGAATAACAATGAGATATAATCAGTAAAGCTAAAGATCAGAAAACACTGATCTTAGATTGTGAGGTACAGACCTCTACTTTACAGTTGAAAAAATTGAAGGCGCCAAGGTTAATGGGCCTTTGTCATGGTCATTCAGCCAGTAAACAGCAGGGACAGGACTAGGTCTGGGGTGCTGACCAGGCTGTGAGGAAGCAGATACAGGATTTCTCTGTTTTAGCAGAAAGTGAACTACATGAAGTATTGTGGCAAAGTGAAAAGGAGTAACACAAACAAAAGATCTTATTTTTCAGAGGAAAGGACGTTTTTATTCATTGTTGCTCATTTTGTTTTTAAAGAGATCTTTGGGAGAAAATAAGAGAAAACAAAATACCACAAAATAACACTCAAATTTTGGGAAATTATTCTGAAAGAAGAAATTCTATTTGCATAGAGAGTACCGTATCTCATAAGGAAGCCAGCATTTGAGAAAAGCAGCACAATATTTCTTTTGCTCTGTCACCTGCCTGAGGGGACAACTGCATTTCCTGTTTGAATTACAGTTTCTGTCTGCTATAAATCTATTGAGCAAAACCCTGAACCTCATTACACACATGCGCACGCGCACACACACACACACACAAAGGTAAGGCTACAAAAAGAGCAGTCTTTTTTACACTAACTGCTTTTCACACAAAAGCTTGGAAGAAAGTTGAGGATGCTTAAATGGCCACTAAGGAATAAACTGTTGACCTAAACCAGGCATAGACCCAGCTTCATATCTGAGCCATAGCACAACTGTCTGTCACACAGTGAAAGCTGGAAGGCCAGCGGGCAAGACTGGAGTGAGCATCAAGCAGACAGGTATCCCGCATCAGGCTGGGCCAGAGGAGTGTGTCAGGATATTGATAGGTGAAAGGACTGGAAAGGGGATGAGAAGGAGGCACAGGATGAATGTGGTTTCAAGTTTTTTTCCTAAAGTGTTCACAGGGGATGAAGGAGGTGAACCCATTAGTTTGCGGGACCCAAGTTGGAAGAGGGCTAGGGCAAGCTCTGATGGAGCCAAACATTGTTACGGACAAATCATCAAATAGTATAAAGATCTGTGTAATTAAACCGGGATGACTATTAAACAGAAAACATGAACAATGCTCAAAGGAAGAAAGCACATGTAAAATATGCTTGTTAGCCAAAAGGAAGGAGAAACAAAAACTGCTATAATCATCTTCAAACACATTTGAAACCAGTGTGCCATAATCTCTTCATTCCAAAATTATCAGCACATGGAATTAAATACTATAAAACATGAATGTATTATGGGAACATAAGGACAGCCAGGAAACGGTGACATCACAATCCCAAATTGGAAGTTATTTCACTAGAAAGAAATATGCACTAAGGAGCAAGCACAGTACATTTTATACTCCCCTCGTAGGAAGCTGAGTCAGGACTAGCACTGGGTGACACACTTGCAAAGTAAGCTTCTACAAAGAACACTTCTTCAGTTTGCCAACGGTTAAAGATTACCTCGTCTCACCTGAAGGTTTCCATCTACCATTAAGATTCCTTTTAAACTAGGCAAGAAACTGAAAAAGATGTTAACAATACTAAACTCACAACAGTATAAACTTCAGTTCTCTGACACAGAAGTGATTTCCTTCATTTAATTTATATAGTTTCGTTAGGGGAACCCAAGACTATCCCAGAGGACAGCAGTAGCATAAATTCTCTATACAGCAAATTGGAAGCTTGGTTTTCACAATAGCATTTCATTTTCCAGTAGTAACCAGGTGAATGTGCTAGCCATCTTCTAGGAAACTCTACTCCAAAATCAAAATGAAGAGTCAGGGAACCCTATAACCTCTAATAACTCTCAAGGAATTAAATAAACAAACATTATAAAATATGATAGAAAAGTAAAAGCATGTTACAGAAGTTGAAAAAAAAACTATATATATCTATAGTTTTTTTTTAAGGCATGAAGGAAAATACTTCTCTCTGGTCACATACAGGGAAGCTTTATCAACCAAAACACTTTGTTCACTAAAATTCTCTTCTCTGAGCTCAGTATCATGTTCAAAGCTTTGTAACTGTCATTTGTTCCTACTACTCAGCTGAGGTGGTCAGTTGAACATTTCTTTCCCTTTTTCTTCAAGCTGCTATAAAAGGCAAACAGCTTGGCCTCCTTAAAGCCAACCAATTAAAATCACTCAAAAAAAAAAAAAAAAAAATCTCACCACTTGGTAATGAAATCTGAAATTAAAGCTGTCCTACAAGCTCTGGTGGTGTAGTGCTTAAGGCATTTGACTGCTAACCAGAAGGCTGGCAGTCCAAACCTACCAGCCACTCCTCGGAAGGAAGTTTGGGCAATCTACTTCCGTAGTGATACTGCCTCAGAAACCCAATCGGAGGGGTCGCTATGAGTCAGGTCCGACTTGACGGCAGTGAGTTGAGTACAATTCTCCAGCAGTTCCATCCATTACCTGCTTTACACCAAGCTTATGTCAAAGCTAACATCAGAATAAAAGCAATGATTCTTTTAAAAAATTTCTTCTGGGGTAAATTACAATTTCTTCATGCTGTGAAAGATCTTAAATCAGCCCCACAAAAGAGTAGCAGTTTGGGAAAAATACCTGGTGGTAAATGGCCCAATTTTCTAATGCTCTCAAAAAAATACTTGAAACGTTCCTAAAAGTGGGCATAAGTCAATCTTAGTCTCTTTTTTCCATTTTTTTTTAAGAAGCCAATATCATTAAGCTGTAACTCAAGTTTTAAAATTTGATGCTTTGTCTTTTAACCTAGCCTCACAGAAATACCTAATGGCTGCCAAGAGATTATTCTGACCAAAAAGTGCATATAAAGCCACTGGGAAATGACAATCTCCGCTTTATGCAGTGTTAGAAAGGCTGGAAGGACAGGTAGTGTCCAGACTGCAAGCATCCTTAAAACATGCTCTGGCATTAGAATGCACCCAAGAGGTACTGGGAGATGGGGTTTCACAGAGGGATGTGACACAATGAGAGAAGTGTGACTTTTTAGGAAAAAACACGGTCATTTTCAGAACTAGAACCTGAGGTCTTTACCTGGTCATGATCAATATCTGCATCTCCTGTGATTACAATACGTTTCTCAATTCTTGTTTCAGATATTCCACCTTTTACAGTCTAAAGATCACAAAGAAAAAAAAAAAATCACCAAAGCATGCAAAATCAAAAAGAGAAAAAGAACACACCTAGAACTTCTAATCATTGTAAGGTAATCCACACTAAATGGGAGACAACTGATATTCTACTAAATTTGTGCTTCATTTTTAACTCTCAAGAGAATTCTACTGTTAAAATGCTAGCCTTCATAAATCAGTTGAAAGCAACCCTTAAAATAATTTATCAAAATTCAGGTGAGATTAAGATGGTGGGACAGACACCGTGTAATCCAAATAGTTTTCCTGGGATACTCTGTCACAATCTCCTGAATTTCTCACTCCCAGTTCACCAATTTTGAAATGGAGATTGGAAAAAGGAGGTAAGTGTAAAGTATTTGTGTAGTTCCAAGGAATTCTAACAATTTATGTATCTATTTCTGGTTTGGGAAACTGATTGTAGTGTTTTGCCTGTTTAATTCCGGTCATACAAATTCACTTGGTGAGTTTGTTTGGTTTAGTGCAATAAGATAAAGGAGATGTATGAGGTTGATACTGAATTTTTGTTGAATGTCTGATTTAAATCATCTGCATGTAGTTGTGACTGTGGACATGGGACATGGTTAAACACAGACCATGTGGCTGTGAAGGGACTCAGGGGAAGGAGCTCCTTGGTATATCGTCTCCAGTTACTGGCTTGTTGCGATCTGATATAGCCTTCAGCACACTGCATTAGGCTGAAGAGATCATATGGCTGTGACATTCCAAACAAAGAGAGATATAGCACAGTTCTCAGAAAATACATATCCAAACTCCACAACTCTAGCAAATTTATACACAAAACCATGTCATGGCACTTTACTACAGAAAACAAGGCTTATCATCAGATTTAATCACTAAGTACATTTTAAAATGAGTGCCCAAACTACCCTGCATTTATATGGCATATTTTAATTTACAAAGTTTTTTTTTATTTCATTTTGCTTGGTTTTTGTTTAAACACAGGGTTGTGGTGGGGAGAATAAAGGCTATATTTATTACTTTTAAGCACTAACAAAACATGAGAAGAAAAGTCTTAAAGGAGATACTGGAAAGTAATGGAGTGAGAAATGAGACGACTTTAGCACACATCAGAATCACCCAGAGGCCTTCTGAAACCACTTTCAGGGTATCAGTAAGTCTGGAGTGGGGCTGTACAACATACACTTCTAACAAGGCCCCAGACAGGGCTGAGCCTGTTGGTCCAGGGACCATGCTTTGAGACTCACTGATGTAAGGTATTATACATTCAGCGAATGATTTGCAAAAAAGTCCAAGATCAATATGCCAGTATCTTAAATAAATGGAGAAAATTTTGCATTATTTGAAAAACTTGCTGAAAATTATGAAAGATGGTCTTCATTCAGTTGCTTTGGTCAGAGGGATCATTTGTACTTACCAAATCTTAAAGTGTTCCCACTTTCATTAAGCTCTACCCCTGTGGCTGTCTTAAGTACAGCTATTCATAACATATTTTTAACCCCCTCGTACTTTACAGAATTGCAATTTGGTTTAACGCATTTGTCAATGGAGTCTTATTTCTTGGCTATTTGAAATCAAGGCATTTTTACTCCGATGGCACTCTGTTACTGTGAAGTGTGTACAGGAACAAAGAAACAATTCAGAAAAGAGAATATCCTGTCTGCAAAGCACCATCATCCCCACAGGATCCCCGGGATCGCTTTACCTTGGTGATATGTGTGGTGGTGGTTGTTGACACGGAGTCAGATGTGATGGTTTGTGCAGTCAGTAATGTGCCCGTATCACCACCTGCCCCGCCATCAACCTTTGGATAGTTGAGGGGAAAATACAAAGTAACGTTTAGCTTCCATTACGTTGTCCAAGAAGACCCTTTCCCACTGAATATGCATCTTTAAAAATCTATGCAGTTGGCACATATTTATGGTGGTAATTTACAAGACAATGGCTGGAAATTGAAAGGCAAAGGCTGGATGCACATGCAGAAGCAAATCCTGTGGGTGGAGAGAAAAAAGGGAGAATGGAAGGAGAAGGTGGTTTGGAAAACTTCAAGGGAGTCACCAGAGAATCTGACCTGAAGGCCATTATGCAGAAGCCAGAAAAGGAAACTAGACAACCAGACAGAGACATTTTCCACAGTGACCAGAAGTACTGAGTTGCTTGTTGTTATTGGTTTTTAAGCATAGGTGGGTAAAAGTAGAGAAACATTTTCTTAGATTATTAGGCAACAGAACCTGAATAAGATGGAGTGAACTTGAGTGATTTCACCGTTTGCTTATCTCTAGCAGAATTTTTAAAAACAATTTTGTTCCTGTAACAGTTTTTGCATTGGAATGTATAGAATGTATATACGGGTACAACTGGAATTCCTGGGTGGCAGAAACAGTTAAGCATTTGGATCACAACCAAAAGATTGGCAGTTCAAACCCACCCAGAGGCAGCTTGGAATGCTGTTTCTGAGTGGTCATGGTCTTGAAAATCCTATGGAGCAGTTCTACTCTGCACGCATGGGGTCACCATGAGTCTGAACTGACTCGATAGCAACTAATAACAACAACAACATGCGTATATATATTTATATATTTTAATATGTATGCATGCACACACTCTATACATACAATATATCAATCCCATGCATATATCAAAATAGATTTTTACTTGTTTGTTTTGGTGCTGGAAAAGGTAGAAAGTTCTAGAGCCTACCAAAGGAAATAAAGAAGCAAATTGATGGCCTAATTGAATTTATATTAATACTCAAACTTATCTAACCCTTGTGTACTGGTACTCATTGACACATGGAAATACCCTGAAACTTAAGGTCCAGAGACTTTCTGACTGAAAGTTGAGAAGAAGCTCTGACTTGGCTGATACACCTGTATGCCATTCGGAGAGCACTTACCACAATACAGACACACGTGCATGTTCTCCCCTAACACTTGGTCCTAAGAAATATGTTTGTGCTCTTGTAAGATTTGTGCATTCATGTGGACAACATACCCCAGATAATTGTGGGAAACATTTCATATATGCACACATTAAACATTTTTAGAAATATTTCAAGACGGCAATAATCTGCCATTCTCCACCATGGTACAATCCTACTACAGAATTCTAAACTTAGTGGAGAAAATTGTTATTGTATAGATTTTTAAACAACTCCATTTTAAAATGAACATTTTCCCCTTTTTGTTACCCTCAAGATTAGACAATTAATGCTTATTTCAAATATTTGCAGAATCAGTGCCTGCAGACCTAAAATCAAACACAATAATCTGATAGTTTACATAAAGAATGACTATATAAATTTTCAGAAAATAATCCCAGTAAAAAGAGAAGCCCATGTAGTATATACCCACAGGCAAGTGTCAGTTCATTAGGTCTGTCTTCATGGAGTTAGAGGGGGTGGAAAAAGTCTATATATCCTACTGATCCACTAACTACACCAGATCCAATAAACTGTGAGAGACAATCTATTTCCAAGTGCACATAAAATTCCTGGATGTACCAAGTCATAAATGAGCAAGACTGATACTACTAGTTCTAAATAATCATATGTCTGTTCACCCTTATAATTACTGGGTTACCACTTTGATTGGAGCTCTCTGACTCAATCTAAGAGAGCCACAAGGCTAGTTATATTTGTTGTTTAAGTATAGATATAAAATGGAGATATTAAAAAAAAAAAAAAAAGACGACATCAAAGTAAAAAACATGTAAACTAGAAAAAGACAGAATGGAAACAGAAATAGACAAATTAAGTAAAAAAGAACTGAAATAGTGCAAATCTAGAGCTTTTGTACCTGTGGAGACTCATATGTGATGGTTTTGGTCTCCGTTTGGACAATGGGGACTTCCTTGGTGGAGATTTCTGTCCTTTGTGAGGCATCAGAAATTGTTACCATCTCTGTTTTTACCACTGGTGGCTGAGGTGAAAAAGGAAGGGAAAAATAAATTCTAGTGGTAATGAAGTAAAAGTGCTTAATGGAACCTTCAAAATAATTTTAAGAAACATATCCAAACACACACTCATGCACAAAAGAAAAGAATAAAAGCAAATAACCTAAAAGACAGAAAAGAAAAATCTTTCTTTAAATATCACGTGTGTGTTAGTGAGTGGGTGTATGTGTGTGTGTGTGCATGTGTTTGAAAGTAAAAGATAACAGCCCCCTAAATCATGATATATTTCAAATGATGATGAGGCCAAACTAGCTAAGTGTCATGCCTATTGTACAGTGACTTAAACTTTGGCTTTGGTCAAGTAACAACAGAATTGACAAGAAAACAAAACAGAATAAACTGTGTGAAGTGGCCTGTCTCTCCTTTTACTACAGTTTAAAGAACCACATGGTTTGTATGAAGGCTCATTTACTTTCCTTGGCCCGCATGCTCCATTGGCTAAGATTTGCTCTTTTCCCCAAGAAGGCTTTTCTGCCTTACTGACAATGGAGATACCATTTTCAGAAAAAATAACTTCAAGTATGACTGCTTTCAATTATACTTGTTTAAAACCTACAGTTTTTCAGGGGGGTACCAGGTTTGCTGGTCCGATAGAGCCGGGTGGAACCACTGAGACTATGGCCCCTAGCTGCCCTTCAGGTCTGGAATCGAACCCACACCTGTGGTTTCCAGCCAAACAAAATACAGGCATATGAGTTGAACATTTACCTCAAGTAGATACACTCCTTGGAGAGAACAATAATGGGAGAAAGAAGGGCTGCTTATGCACAGGGAGACAGCTCAGGGGACAGAAGCCCATGGAGAGATGGACACTGGGAAGAGGTAACTGTGGGGAGGAGGTAGGAGGGGAGCTGTTGCATTGTGCTAAACTGTGGTCAATGTCATGAGACAAAGTGTATATGAACTGCTGTATGGAAAGTGAATTTGCTCTGTAAATCTTCACCCAAATCACAATAAAATAAAATAAAATAAAATAAAATAAACCTGCAGTTTTTCTTATATATTACATAAATTAAAATGTTATGAAATTACTCCATCAATACTGCATTAATGTTTTGAACAACTTAAAACATTAAATGTGAAGTCTGAGGACCTGTTAACATTGTGGTCTGCTGAGCATATATGTTTACTACACCACCAGCCTACACTATTTCCAAAATAATAGTGTACTAGACAGAAAATTCCCAACAGGTGTACTTTATTTAAAGAGGAATAACTGTGTGATAGCAGCAGAAAATAATAGTTCAAAGTAGTCACAGATTCTTGAACTGTCTTCTTTGAAGTGGAAAGTTAAAATGTAACATAATAAAAATCTATTAAATTCTCTCAAGACAAAGTCACTTCACAATTTTCCATCCCATCAAAAACAACAAATGTGAATAATCTCTACATCGTGGGCATTTAATTTTAGAATCCCAAATAAAAAAATGCCCATAAAAGCAAACCCTCCCTGAGCATAACTTGAACTTCCAATTCAGTAGCACTGCACCTAGTGACCAAGAAATAACCTAGGAGGGGTACGGAAAGTTAGTTTTTGAAGAGGAAGGGACTTATACTCGATGTAGATAATCCACAAAACCTATCAACTTGCAAATAATCTAGAACTGATGGTAGAGAATGACAGAAGTGGTCCTCCTATTCAATAGTCTAGCCTCTTGCTGCCTTCAAGGAAAGAAAAGACTCCTAGCCAAACCATACAATCCCAGGCATCTAAAAAACTGAAGTCACAGGGGCATGCAACAAGTCATGTTCTTGTCACTGCCAGATGCCGTGCTCAGAGCAGCAGAGTAATGAAAGCCTGCTGCCATTTCTAAAAAGCTTAAGTTGAAGAGCGACAGAATGAGCCAAAGTCAAACCCAACCACGACAAGAGGAACACACATACTCACATTACACATTTCTTCAACATTACATATACAATTTTCTAATTAAACCAATGAGAAAAAGCATTAGGGTCAGGAAGCAGTGCAACTAAGAACAAAAGAGTTGAAAATATTTAAAACATGCAAAGAAAAATTTACATGTGTAATGGAGACGGAAAAATGATATGGCTGTGTCAGGAAGTTCCCTCTACCAGGTGATCGACTTGCAGTAAAGAAGCCAGAAACCATGAACTGAGTTGGCAGAAAATCTACAAAGCAGTGCTTTCCCTTTTCTTGAATTGGGAAGAATCAGAATCTTGTTGAAAAAGCTCAGAAGAATTGGGAGGACAGGAGAAGAAAGGCAGGTGTTTGCCACCTGAGAAACAGCTCTATTATAGTTTAACTCCCACTTGGGACACCCATTTACCTCTGAACAACAAATAATTTCTGGCAAAACATCAATGTCAACATGAGACACCTCTCCGTTAACTTTATGTTGCTCTTCCTCTGTTTCTTCTCTCATGTCTTGCTTAATAGCGCCTTCATTTACACTCTTCTCTCCAGGTATGTTTTGGGCAACTACGTTTTCCTGGATCACTGTTTCTATTGTGATTATATTGGCACCTGCTTGTTTGACTGGGCTGGCTTCTGGCATTGCTTCCTGCCTCTCTACTACCTTGGCTGCTTGGCCCGGCTCTTCCTCCGGCTCTTCTTCATACTCCTCCTGCTCCTCCCTTATTGTGCCCTCGGTCACACGGCGGTGGGGGCGGTACTCTCCCACATCTTCTCCTTCACTCTCACTGCTGCTGCTGCTCTCAGAAGACAGAGAGGTGGAGTCTTTCTGCATCAGTGGCTCCACCTCACGAATCTCCCCAGGACCACTCCCAGGTGATATCTCTTTACCGTTCATTTCTTCCGTGATTACTCTTTCGTCTTTCCCAACCTCTGCCCGCTTCTTCTCCTCCACTACATTCAGAGTCTCATGTGAACTCTGTACAAAAAAAAATGGATGAGGGAAAACAAAAATGTATGAATAAACGAAAATGATGGAAACCAAAACTAACTGATGGTAGGTTCATGTCATGGAGCAAAACAAAGATGATTATGATGGCTGACTGAAAGGGAAGCGGGGAAATGGTGAAGGGTATCAGAAACGTCAGGCAACGGTGTGAAATGGAAAAAGGGGAGAACCTTAACAGCATCACTGGCTCCACCGCATGGCCCTTCTGACTCGGGAGCACGTTTCTGCGAAACAAAAAGCAACCAAGGACACAAAATCAATAAACGTTTACCTCGACACCGACCAAAACAAGCATCTGACACACAAAGACAGAACAGGAAGAATCAGAATCTACAAAGATCTCTGCTCAAGGTCAAACAAAGGACAGTTAAGACAAACGCCAAAAAGCTTACAAAAAGAAACAAAAATACAAAGACAGCCAGCACCCTCCCAAAAGAACGAAACACTTGCGTTATAGCTACACCTGTACACATTACTTAGGTAGTTGATTTTAAAAAAATAAAAAAGAATTATACAAAACTTACTGATCACCTTCAAGAATAACTTTAAAACCTACTGACAATAAACGTTTTGGTCTTAATCAGACTATAAAGCCTGCCCTAAAATTCTTGATTCCTAAATGAATACAGCATTAAGGACATGATACCTCATGTCATGTCATGGCTCATTTAAAAAACAGATTTGATTGGCAAAATTATAACTATTAACATAAAAATGTTCTTTTCAGAAATGATTATTAATATCACAAACTGCATTACAAACAGTAACAGGGACAGCATAACATTTGGGTAGATGTCAGTGGTGCTCCAAGGGTTTTCTTTAGAATTTAGCTTCTCCAGGGGCATCTTTGAAATCAAAATGCATCAAGTTTACTATATGAGATGTTCTTCCCCACCTCCTACAGACATTTGTTTCCTGGGAGTAACTGAATTTACTCTAGTTCTGTAATATAGTACCTAAATGTTTGGTAAATACCTCTATATATACATATATATGTATCATTGCTATAAATTACTGTATCATTTAACTAGAGTAGAAATTTTTTTATGGAAAAGTTTTAAATTTTTATTTTTTAAAGGCCATTTTATATTACTATTTTCATTATTATTATTATTATTATTAACTGTGCTTTAGGTGAAGGTTAAAGAGCAAATTAGTTTCCCATTTGATAATCTGCACAAAAAAGTGTTCCATGACATTGGTTGCATTCTTAACAATATATCAGCACTTTCCCCATTTCTGCCCTGGGTTCTCCATTTCATTTCTCTGAATTTTCTACCCCTTTCTGCTTTCTCATCCTTGCTTTTGGGCAAATGTTGCCCTTTTTGATCTCATATAATTGACTGTTCTAAGAAACACACTCCTCTCAGGTGTTATTGTTTATTTTATGCGTCTATTGTTTGGCTGAAAGGTGGTCTCCGGGAATGGCTTCAGTTCCAGGTCAGTAGGGTATCTCAGGGCCATAGACTCAGGGGTTCCTCTAGTCTCTGTCAGACCAGTAAGTGTTGTCTTTCCTTATGAATTTGTTTTTTAGATTTACATTTTTCTTCCACTCTATCTGGGACCCTCTGTTGTGATCCCAGTCAGACTGGTCACATTACTATTTTGAAAAAGCTCCTTTAAAACAAAGCCTAACCAAGTTTTAGACATTCAAGTGTTGGTACAGCCTATGATCTAACCTAAAATAAATCTGCTAGAGACAGTAGCCCTACTTATTCAAGAAGGTATCTCCATGCCAAATCGAGAGGGGCACTGCACCTCTGAATCCTCTGAGCAGAAAGGAACCTTGCGGAGATGCCATGGCAGTCCCTGGATTGCAGCTGCTCGTTTCCTACAACAAGCTTTCTTACTAGAGAGAGCAGGATCTCATGGTTATCTGCACTAGTGACATGAATAACCATGAGTTAATGGTCCTAAAATGGCACACTTCTCTGTGACACCTATCAATATCCACTCACACTCTCTTTGACCTGCATTGTTATTATTAAATTAATGGTAAGATCATGTTTAACTGCTCAAAATTAATATCACGTAAGTCATGTCACTGAGAACAAGAGAGCCAATTCTACAGTTCTGTTGAAAACCCGTAGGTCCCAGACAATAAACTGGAAAACTCAGAATCTATTTCAAGAAACAGATACTATGTAACTACTTGTGAATTTCTATGAAAATCAAGATATCCGGTGATCAGAACATTTCTGAAGCAGATATGTCATTATTATTACAGACCAGTGAATTATTATTATTAGCTAACCATACAGGGCTGGATGCGTTCTGCCAAAGTTCAGGGAATCTCTTTAGGATCGTTAAAAAAAAAACTATTTCACTGGCTATGGGAGGCACTTCAAAGTTGCCACAGAAACAAAATTTCTAAAATCACAAGCCATCAAAAGATGCCTGAGAGACAAGTGGGCTTTAAAAACAAATTCTGCAAAGTGTATGTAAGCTTCTGGTTGTTTGGGAATTTCCTTCTGCTTAGTAACTCAGGTTGTGGTCTTTAAAGATTTAAATGATTCTCTGAATTGAGGCAGTTTTTTAGAGGGTGTGGGTGGGGACCAAAAGCAGCAGGAGAAACATCCAACCTTTTCCTCATGACAAATTTCAGTCACTATTACTTGAATGTTTTTCCTGGGAAAGGTTAATTTCACCAATAAAAGCACTGAAGGGAAATGCTCCTGAATATTTAAAAAATGAAAAAATCATTCTCATATGTGGCTTTGAATAACAGGGAAACAAAGTAAAATGCACCTCAGGCAACTGTGAAGAGGGCGAAGAGGAAAGCTTTTCACAAGGTGCATTAGAGTTCACAACAGTGCCCTCTGCTGTCCAAGTGGTGGCTGAAGTGAAGGTGGCTCTCATGCTATCAGAAAAGCCCTTTTCACTAAACAAAATGGATGTTATCTCCTCTTCTAGGCTCTAGAGAGGTCAGAAAAGGAAGAGCAAAGAATTAACAATAAGTCAGAAGAGACAGCAGTGACCTATTAAAAGAAAGGAAAGTTACACAAGAAAGGATAACAGAACAGCGTCAACTGAAAGAAAGATGAGGATTCTGAAAGATTCTGCGGCAGGCTTACGTGGAGGTTCACCTAAATGCCAGTTTTTCAATCCTGCTTGACAATACTTCATAGTTTCACCTTAAAACTCCCAGCTTAAAACTCCTTGGTTTATCACTGAAGCTCTATCACAAACTGAGCACAACCTACCTACCCATCACTTACTTCATTTTTCCTGAGGTAGCTTCTCTGTGTGAGCTTTATTCTGCACAGAATTGGCCTTGTCTCTGGCTCCTATACTTGAAATGTTTATTCCTGTGTTAGAGTTTGGACGATCCTACCCCTCCTACTTCCAATGCCCTGCCCTGTGGGAAGCAGGCCCTTACAATTTTGTCACCTGCGGTCCAGTTAATATTCCTTATTTTGTATAAGCTCTTTGGCTAACTATTCTAATTCATGTCATTTCTTCTCTTCTCCTTATTACTTAACTGTCCACACAACAGCATTCTGACAGCAGGTCATAGTAATTCCTTCAGACATGCTAAATAAATTACACAATGAATAAACTGTGTATTTTTAAAAAAAAATAAAAACAAAGAAAAAAATTCTAAATAGGAAGACAAACCCAGAGGTGAAAACTCAGAGAAATGTGAAAATCATGTGTCTCTGAAAATCTATTAAGGCAAATTTAATACTCCAATTTCTTTCCCTTAAGTGATGGTCCTTAACCTGACTGACGGCACTGGAGGAAAGCTGGAGACTCTCATTAGAAGCATGCAAGACCAATTTCTAATGAAACCCACTGCTCAGAGATCTTAAGGAGCTCTGGTGGTACAGTGGGTAAGACATGCCTGCTAACAAGAAGGCTGCGGTTCAAACACACCAGGTGCTCCATGGGAGGAAGATGAGGCAATCTTACTTCCAAAAAGATTTACAGCCTCGGAAACCCAAAGGGGCTTTTTATGAGTCAGAATCAACCCCACGGCAATGGGTTTGGTTGTTTTGGTTTGCTCAGATCTTAAAGAAAAATAAATAACATTTCTAAGCTAGGAGGAGTGGAGGCTAGGCACAGTGAGGTGAGGAGATTGAAGTGGTAAGTACCTGCAATATTCAGGAGAGAAAAAAGCTTTCAGACAAATTCAGCTTAATTATAATTCTCTTAATCACACCATCCCTGGAGCAAGATGGGTGAAGAAAGTGTCCTTCCAGGGAAGTTTAAATAAGTGGCATCCGTTTAATAATTCCACGAAACATCTTATAAGTACCCTAAAACTATAATCTATGTAATTTCTACTAGACTCTTGAGAAAATATTTTATACAAATTTAAGTATAACTCTTACAATGTATGGGAATACAACATCAATAGAGTATACAACAGACTTATTTACCTGCTACAGAGTAGTAAATGACTTAGTTTCCAATTTTCTGCTATATTCTCACAATCACTTCCACTCCAAATAAAGTCACTTTGAAAGTTCAATGTATTTATCTTTTAAACAAGAAAGCTATAAATGCTTTATTATAAATCTATAATCTATAAATCCCACAGCATAGGAATTGGGGGAAAAATGGTTAAATTATATATTAGGCATATTGTTTTATTCTATCGCTCAATAGGGATTATAATTCAAAGATAAATGAAAAACTGCAAAATCAGTATAAAAATGAAGCTGCAACAAAGAAATTTAAAAGGTATTCTATTGAAGTGTAAAACACTCTAGTAGACTCAACTTCTCACTTACTATCAAATAATAGTGGAAATATGTCGTTTGAAAAAACTGCATGGAAAAACTACCTGGAAAAAACTAAAACTGAATGGATGCATGGGATGCTTATAGTTACAATAATTCATATGTACACCATATAAATATGTATTTTCCTAGGAGTGTTGGAGGAAAAGAATTTTAAAAAGTATTAATTTCAAGTGCCAATAAAAACCATTTAGGAACTAAACAATGGTAAGTTTCAGATTTAAATTTCACATAACATCACTTTAATATATAAATTCTATGACAAAATAGTTTATATTGCACATTTGTAAAATATGAGATCCAGAAAAACAGTGACAACTTTAAACACCTTCACCAAAATTCCAAAGCTTCCTTTTGCAGAAAGTCCAAGGAAATAATTTTAAATTAATTAAATAGTGCTATTTGACTTGCTTCTGGAGGATAATTTTTTAAAATATGTAACATTTCAAAATGTGGGAAAAAGCATTACATATAGCGAGTCTAATTCTATAAGCTTTGGATTTGAGGCTAACCTTTATAAAGTACATAAACATGCCACTTGGTTCAGCTTTGTGACATTATCTTTCTCGTTCTCAGTGTTCTGGAAATATGTCATCTTAACTAGACCTCAAATTCCTCTAAGGCTTTATCTCCCATTTACTTTGTCTCCTCCTACCCCACAATACGTTTTCATGAATACTCCCTAGTGACCAAAAAAACTACTTTGTGGGAAGAAAACATTTTTTTCCTTAGGACTGATGTCTATTCTCACTCACACCTCCTATAATCCATTTCTCATCCAGCCACCAGAGGGATTTGTCAGGCACATAGGGGATCATGTTACAACCCAGTTTAAAATTCTATAGTGGCTTCCCACAACTTCTATAATAAAATTCCAAAAGGTCAATATGGTGTTTAGGACCCTGGCATGATCTGGAGCCTGACTTCTTTGGTCCCGCTTTGGTATCCTTCATTCTCCTCCATGGTTATGAAGCCATGGTCACTTGATCCCTCAGTTCCTTGAACTAGTTCCTGCTGTGGGGAAGTTGCATTTGCTCTCCCTTAACATGCAAAAATCTTCATGCTTTCTTGTTCTGCTCTCAACTCAGATGCCTTTCCTCAAAGAAGCCTTCTCTGACGACAATGATAAAGAGGCCTTCTCAGTCATCTTCTAATGTAACACTATATTTCACCTATTTTTTAACACTTAATTCTTAGTACTTGATAATTTCTAATTAATAAATGAATTATAATTAATTAGTGTAATTAATTAATAAATATCATTAGTTAATGTAATTATTTATATGTTTGCTAAGCTCTCTAGTCTCAGCAAATAACAGGCTGAACAACTGGCTAAGCAAAATCAGTACGGAAAAAAGGATAATTATGGGAAAGTAATAGAAAGCTGACTTCTTTAGTAATGTCCGATATTTCATATATGCAGGAACACCGACAAAAAACTTGGAGAACTATTATAAAAAAACAAAATGCAACGCACCGCTGCTGAGTGAGATCCGACACATAGCGACCCCTCCATGGGTTTCCCAGGCAGTACCACTATAGAAGTAGATTGCCCAACCTTCCTTCCAAGAAGTGGCTGGTGGGTTTGAACCGCCAACCTTCTGATTAGCAGTCAAATGCCTTAGGCACTACGCCACCAGAGCTCACCAAAAATCTTATTTTCCAAATAAAAATCTTAAAAATAAAACTCAAAAGGTTGCCATATGTAATTAGTAAACTAGTACCCTAAAGAACACATAATTTGCCTGTTTAACAGCATGTGTGTGTAAGTATTGAACAAACAGTGCATTTTCATATGCAATTATAGTTTCCCAAGTGTCAGCCACGTATATCAAAATTAAGGATCACTTATCACATACAGTGGTTGAAATTTCTGCATTTCATAATGTTGAATTTTAAAATAAAGTACTTCTGCAATATGGAGTATCTCATCTAATGACCCTGCTTATTCTATACATGGGGGATTTAATTTTTAAATGCTTAAAAAATATATTTTTTAAAAATTTAGCTTGGTACATAAGAAAATGTACTAGCTTACAGCTGTGGACAGAAATAAAAGGAAAAGGGAAAAAAGCAAGAGTAGATCCAAGGATGCGAGGTGAACACCTTGTCCGCCTCCTGAGCTTTTTCTTCAACTGTCCGTGTGGTCACCATCTGGTCCTTCTCCTTCATGGATAAAATATCCTTGAAAAGATGGTCTCCTTTTCTCTATTGTTTTAAACAATAGACATAACAACAAATAAGACAAATACATTACATCTATAGCAACACAAACATAAAACAACCATGTGGGTCAGAGGAATAAAAAACATGAAGTGGCACATAAAAGGAGGCCAAGATCTTAGCTTATCATCAGACACTGTTTCTCCAGAAACTATAACGCTCCACAGCGAACTGCTGAAATACTGACATCAATACATCCAACTTCCTAATACTTTACCCATGATGTTTTATTTAGTATTGTCAAAAGTTTTTTTTTTTTCAGTTCAGTAATTATTTCTGCTAAATCTGTTCTTAAAGAACTATTTTCCTTTCACAGTCACAAACTTAGAGATCAAAATACTAAGTTTTGTTAAGAAAGGTAAATAAAAACGGCCCTGGACTATCTAAACCTTATAGCTGGAATCTGGCAACATTCAACCCTGACTATAAACTGAACTTCAGAGGGAGAGAAGAGAGGAAGGGAAAAGGAGAAAGAAGAAATTACAGGGTAACAACTTCATATACTTTGAAAACTGTGTATTAAATGTAGCACGATAATAGAGCCCACAGAAATTCTGGGTCAATAATAGAAGAGTTTTTGGAGTATCAGAAGGAAATGGTAATGAAAAAATACTCTGAGGAGATATTCAAAAGGCAGTACTTATTTTTGTATAGAGAAGAGAAACATGGAAGAAAATGAATGATAGTTTAGAGATGATATAGTTAAAAATGTCTTTTAAAAACTGATCTACAATTCATTATAAGATAGTTTCTGCACTTAGTTACATGATAAAAATATTTTGCAAGTTTTCAACAAGGTTCATCAATCTTTGTTTAAAGCTGAGTTTAACTTGTTATCCTCATGGTAATTACTTTACACATGGTAATTATGGTCTACATTCCTACTTCCCTTTAATTTCTACTTATCGAATTATTAATAAACTCCTTTATTTTGGAAGTCACAAACTGGAAAACTAATTAAAATACAATTTAATGTCAGTTTCTAAGTTACCCTACATAACAATTCATCACCATTAATTCACTTGAGTAGAAAAGTACATTTATTCTGAAATTATTTCCAAAGTACTTTGAAATTTATACAATTTACCTAAGAAGTAGGCCAACAAGTATTAACTTGTTAATAAACATTTAGCATTTAAAATATTGTTAGCAATTACATAAAAAACTAAATGAGAACACTTTCCAACTTCCTAAGAATCAACATAATAGATTAGCATCCTCATTTTCTCTAAACAGCCAGAGTGAAACATATTGCCAACAAATATCTAGCAACATACCCCTTGTGTCTGTAGGGACAGAGGTGTGATACGTCGTTTTTCCCATTCATTGGGGCGTGGTTCAGGTGTGGATTCCATAAAATTGCGCTTGAGTTCACTAATGCTAGCCTGATGTTTCAGTATGTCCTCCTGGGCCTTATCCAGGTCCTAGCAATGTGTAATGTTACAAAGGGGAAATAATCCAAAAGGAGGGGAAAAAAAAAAAAAAAAAAAAACCCAGTAGGACAAAAATAAAAAATAAATAAAAAAATAAGACAAAGCAAATTCATGATCAAAAAATATTAAAGCAAGAAAAATGCCAAGTCTCAAAAGCCATGTTATTATCTATGAAAAACACTTATCAAAATTTGAAAATGAAGCCAATGTAATTTTCTATGATTCATATTTTAAAGGTTTCAATTTCTCCCATTTAGAATGTTTAAAGAAATATTTACATTATTGGAAAGAAGCCATGAAACTGATAATTAAAATGGCTAATTACCCTTCTTTTTCAAATACTTGGATTTGAAATGCAGTCTATGACTGTTTCAGCATATTTACCTTTCTGATTATGGATACTACTTAAATTGCATTCTACAAACATAGTAAACCAATTATAAAATACAGAAAGGTGGACTCAGAAGCACATTTGGCCTGAAGGGAAAGTCAGTCCAGAATCATCCAAAAATAGAAAAACAAGTGTTGACTTTTTTTTTTTTAAAAGAAATTCCAGTGGTGACTTCTAATCCTTAAGGAATAAAATAGCTACGCCCAGAGCTGCATTTGTTTGACCTCTCTATAAAGTAAGTAGACCACATATACTGGTCTCACGTCTTGCCAAATACAAAGATGAGCCCCCACCCCACCCCAACAACAACAACAACAAAACAAACACACTGCCATCGAGTCAATTCTGACTCACAGCAAACCCCATTGGGTTTCCAAGGCAGTATATCTTTATAGAAGCAAATTACCCTGTCTTCCTTCCATAGAGCTGTTGGTGGGTTTGAACTGTCAACCTTCTGGTTAGCAGTCAAATGCCTTAAGCACTGTGCCACCAGAGCTCCTTAAGGTGAGGCCCAGTCACTTGCTATTCCAATGGTGCTTATACAGACTAAGATGCAAGAAAAACTAGTAGGTCACTTTTCATTGGAGTAGGCCCTGACAAATGAATGGTATTTGTGGGAGGTTTTAGACCGGCCCTGATAAGTAGTATTTGTGGAAGTAAAAGGTAATGAGTGTTCAGGAAAGTATTTTTAATTGGATTTTAGATGTTTTCTTACATCTCAAAAATCCCAAGAGCCACCTGTAGGTTTTATCTTTCATCCCCTCCCAGAGGAACAGGTCATGCATCTGATAAAATTAGATAACTTCATATGCATGCACAAGCATAGTAGCTCATCTATGAGCTTCTATTGCCATTTGCAAAAACTCATGAAAATCTAAAAATCTTTGCATGGCATGGAAAAATCACTGTGGCTTGAGATCAGGCACATTTCTTGGATTTGTTCAAAGCAAAGTTATGTATTACACTTTACAGCATTTTAGTAAGTTATGCAAAAATACATTTCTAACAGTTACATCAAAGCTGCCAAAAGCAACCAAACAGATTAGTCAGATTACTGAGAATTGCAGCTCTCCACTTTGCCACGTATTATCCTAAAGGAAAAAAACGTTCTTCTATGACACAGAATATGTCTTAGATTTCTAAGTGGGTGCTTTTCTTTTCTTTTTCTCTTTCTTCTCAATGAAAATAAGACCATCAATTAGCATACACCCAAACAGAATATTTTAAATGGACCACTTTTTGAACTCAAAAAAAAAAGAACGTGGACATAGTTCAAAAGTCAAATGATTTTATGCCAGATGAACAAATGTTTTTTCTATTTAATGTATATTAAAAATGGGATCCAGTTACTTCAGATTCTATGCTCTAGAGATAACCTATTAGGAGAAAATAGGTTATTCTGTAGAACAACTTCAAGATTAATGGATAGAAACTTAATTCACTTAACAGAACGATTTTTCCCAGCTGTCACGATGAGAACATCTAGCAGGTATGTTCCTCCCTAAGCCACTTTGAAAGAACAAAGCTGAACTGGTAACATGCACTCCCAAGTTGAATCGCCCCATGCATTTCATGCGCTGTGCTTGAAGAAGATCGCCAGCCAGCCTGTGCGTGACCTCCCGTACACAGCAGCCTGGCAGCCATTAGGACAGAACTGTTTTCTTAGATTATACAAACCTCCAACATTAAATTGCTATGTCTGACATAAATATTATCCCCTTCTACTCTCAAGGAATTCTTCTGTGAAATTAAATCACAGGGGGAAAAAGGCAAATAAACGTAAGTGTATCAATCAGCAAGCACCAGAACGACCCAGAATTTGATAATCTAAGACATTAAAATAAAGAGGGAATCAAAATCTAAGAACTTAAAGCCGCAACTCAAATAAAACTCATAAATAAACCCTAAAGTGCACTCCACACTGAATAATAACAGCAGGCAGCCACTAGATATTTAACAAAAGAGGGAAAAACATCCACCTCCTCCAGCTGTGTTTCTTCTTCTTCCATCTTCATCTGAAAAGTCACACGGCCAGGAAGAAGTGGAGTTTAGTGGGAATGCTACTGTCAGTGCGAAGAAACTGTACTTGAACTTAAATGGTGAGCCAGTATTACCAACCTTTATTGTTTGGGTCTCAGAAGATGCAGAATATTAAGCCATTTTGGTCTTCCTTCACCTAATACATTGCACAAATGATGGAAATGATTCTTTGCAAAGATGAAATGGAGAATGGAAGCTTCATTCTCTCTCAGTCGCTAGATCATGCTCTGCCTTTGAGTATTTTTACTCAGGAATAAAAAAATGTGAGTGTGCAAAAACAGCATAATCAATCTGCTCTAATTTGAAACATCTAAGTCAATTAGTGATGGAGCAAAGTACAATGATGTAAAATGTGGCTTTAGCTTTATACTGGGGATAAATGTTCACCTTATTCAGTTTTTTAATATGGATTTTTTTTTTCCTCTGGAAGGGGAAGGAAACTGGTTTATTTTGCTACTTTCATATTAAAATGGTATGTATTTAAAAATAATCTTTGAAATAGATGTACTTTCATAAAAATCTTTAAACAAGAATAATTTTTCATAGCTGGACATTTCTCTATATCTAATGACCCAAAAGAATGAATTTGGATGCTTAAAGTAACAAACACTAAGTACATATTGACCCAGTGGTAAGAAAGAAAAATATATTGGTCCTAATATCACTGGAAAATAGTTTAACCTTCACATGTCAGTTTACAGCAGGATCAAATAGCATGTATTTTTTCTTCTTTATTGAAATAATAAGGTGAAATGTGAAAGTTGAAAACACTGAGCTTTTTCTTTTTTAAAAACTAATCATAACATTTTTAAAAGGTAACCAGGGATCTCACAGTGTGTTTCTCTCAGACATGAAAAGTGAGGCACAGATACTCAATAATCTGTTAAGAACTATCTTTTAATTCTTTGGTCAATATTGAATTCTCTTAAGATGTTGATTTTTTTTGGGTAAAATTTTAAAAGTCATAGTTTCCTCAAGATGCATAATCATAGCATTATCTTCACATTTTTGTTTAGGTTTGCTGTAGCTTTTGTGATTTACTCTATGTATTGATAGTAATCACAATATATGAGACACTAAATCACCAGACGGCATTTAGCAAAACAATGAAAAATAAATATATATATGAAGCACATGTTTAAATTGACTTAATTGAGCAGAAGTACTATGCTTTGTTTTTTAAAATTATCCTGTATATGGCTGAAAATCCTTAATCAGCATCCTAATCTTAAATAAAAGAGCACTAAGAGGCCCAACCTAAGTGCT